TTCAACAGAGGAAGCCTAACGAACCCTTTGCTGTTAAACGAAAACCTGTCCCTGCTGGCTCTTGTCAGATGAAATTCCCGCTGTGTTTACAAAGGGGGACTCAACCATCTCCATATGGGACCTGCACAGAGCTCCACTGCCACTGCAACGAGTTTCCATATCCCCAAATCAGCTTTTTTCTTCCTAATGCCCATGGCATGCTGCAGGCACCCTGCCACTGCTCGGAGCGCTGCTTCCCCTCGCGGCAGCCTTTCTGCCGAGGGCAACCGGCCACAGCATCGCAAGGGAGCCGCTTCCTGGCTCCCAAACCTTTATCCAGGGAAAAAAAAAAAAAAAAAAAAGAGAAAAGAAAAAGTAATGTAGAAAAGCTACTGAGCTCTGCCGAGGGGATTAGGATTTACTGTCATATCAGGTAAATTTGGGTCAATGAGAAGCTGAGGCTAAATTTTATCTCGGCTGATAATAAAGCAGCCTCTTCACACAGCTAAGAGCAGGGATGATGTCGCACCTCCTGTTTAACCTCGCTCGCATGGCCAAGCCTGAATTTCTCCATAACTGCATAATTACTAATAGGATGTTTTTCTTTTTTTGATCTAACATTCCTAAGTAAGAGTCTGTAAGATGATATTCTCCTTAAAATCTTATAACTAAATCATAAAGAGAAAGGGAGCTGTGTGCCTGAAAGGCTGAGATTTTATTCTCAGCATTTGTGGGGGTTGTTTTGCAGTCATGAACAAAGTGCTTAAATTTTCCTTGTCTCAGTTTACTGGGCTGTGAAATGATGGTAAGATATCTGCCTCTCCGGGAATCTGGGAAGTCTGATGTTTTAACTGTGTCTTGAGGTTTTATATGCAGAGTATAAACAAGTTTAAGACATGATTAGAACACCATCTTTAATATGAGCCGTGTACTTACTGCTCTGTGCTTATAAATACAATGTTTAGTCTTCTGAGAGGCAATTAATAGCATTTAAAGATGTAAATATATATGATACTTCCCCAAATAATAATATTGTATGCCTCTCAGTACATAAGTGAATATAACATTTATGACCCTTCATTTGATTGTCCTTAACAAATCAAAAAAAAAGGAATATTCTATTTCAGGAAATCTAGTAGATTCCTTATTATTATTGTTGCCAGACAAAGCTCAACAAAGGCAGTAAACTCATTACAAGTTAACAAGCTTATTCTTAACAACTAGTGTTTAAAATTCATAAAATCGAAGTGCTAAAATATATACAGTTGTTGGTTTCTTTTTTTGTTATACTTCTGCACTTGGCTTCAAAATAGCATTTCACATCACAGGAAGACTCAAAATATGTGTTTCATCCTGCTAGGGATAGGTAGGGCTAAAATAGTTGTTAATTTGCATCTGATGTAGAGATGTTTATTTTCAGAACAAAATGTAAACGTTTTCTAAGATGTGTCATATTCTTTTCACACATTTCATGAAATACTGTGGGCATCTGTTTATTTGTAATTTTTGCATAATTTGGCCATAATTTGCTTGATATTTTTCCACTCTTGCTTTCTGAGGGAGGAAAAATATGCAATACACAGAGTACTTAATGTAAAATGTCCTTTTAGCAAAAGTCGAACTTCTCTAAATCGGTCTTTAGGGGGCATTTATTTTAGCTCTCTTATTTTTCTGTTCCTATTTCTGAGAGAATTTGATTACTTACCTGATTTGTCTTCCATTTCTTCCCTCCTAGCCTTGCCTGTTATGGCTGAGACATTCTCATGTGTTTAAACATTAGCAGCTGCCCAGAGGCAACCCTAACTCCATCTGGGATAACCTGATCATGTTCCCTTAGCAAAAATGCAACGAGATGAACAGTCACCTGAGAATAAACACGGGCTCCTGTGCTGATATCTGTTGGTACATAGCAATGAGGTAAGAGACAGTAACTCATGTGTGGGTAATGACCCCGCATGATAATTTGAGGAAAAGCTCTACCCTCTCTAATCAACCCGCCATTCATTTCATGCAGACACACTCTTGCAAGATCATCACTGCACATTAGGCATAAACTGAGGCAAAGGGCACTGATTGCTACCCATTATTGTGATAAATCAGCCTACGAGTATCATTGAACTGTGCACATTAACAAGATTAATTTGCAATAGCACAACCCACGGAGCATCAAGGAAATGGAAACCCCAAGGGGAGCGAGCATATGTTAGAGGCTCTGAGCTTTGCTATGAGACATCTTTTCCTAGTCAGCGGTGGATGGGCGCTGAAGCTAATCCAGGAAAGGTTTTGAGGAAGATTATGTTCTTGTTTCCACCAATAGCACTTTCTCAGCCTCCCCCTCCGGTAGCTGATATGTGATTGTCCTTATCATGCAGAGCACCCAAAGCTGCTCAGGCAGGGGATGAAACCCTCTTGCGGGGCGCAGGACATGGGACACCAGGCTGTGCTGGAGGCAGGCTGCCACCAAACCTCCTGTCTCTGCTGTACCCCGCTGCCTGCCAAACCATCCTCATGCTCTCCTCCCTGCTGCTGCCCTCTTGCATGGTTAGCATGGCAGACAATTGCCCTCCTTCTCTCCAGTTCAGACCCAGAAATCCTCACTTTCCCTCTCATACGCCATCCAGCAGCCCCACACCCGTGCTAGTCTCCTTGCATCCTCACTGGCCAGCACACTAGATGCCCTTGAGTATTCATTATTCATATCAATGCACTACTCTGCAATCTAATGCTTTCTAAGCCACTCTTAATCCCTTTTCACAAAGGATCGTCTCACAGACCTCAGATCCAAAAGGAAACCTCCCACATGTGTTTAACCTGCTGCAGCAGAGAAATATCCAGCAGCCGAAAAAGTGTCTTCAACAAAATGGCATACTAAATCAGAGCCCTGTACCTCTGGTACAGTACCAACAGAATACTACAATAAATATCCACTTTCCCTTCTGCCTTTCTAATCTCCTTCAGCCTGATATGAATCAGCTTTCATTTGTAGGAAAATACTTCTTTTTCTTCGTATTTAAGCCGCAAGATAGTGTGAATGCAAGCTCTGAGAGCAGATTCCCAAAACCAAACAGGCTAAGGAGAGAAGAAATTGTTCTACAAACCGGGCTCTCAAAAGGGCTCCTTAAAAGCAGGCAGAAAAGGCAGAAAGAAGAATGCTTTTCCCTAAATTAGAAATTCAAGATTAGATCTGCTAATATGCAGTGGGCTGGAACTGGGGCTGGATATGGACCCAAATGTCTCCTTGCTTATCCAGAGCTTATCAGAACACTCTGAACTTTCAGCCTTGCAAGTACTGAGCTGGAAACGGCAGGAGAATGAACTCTCATGAGATTTCTTGTTCTTTTTTTGCCTGTGATTAGGCCAGAAATACCTCAAAGATAGATTTTTCTTGTGACATTTGAAGTTTTCTGATTCTAGTGCGTACTAGAAACAGAGCTGTACAGAGATAGAAATTCATGAGCTTAGAATTTCAAAAGATCACCACTTTCATTTAATCACCAAAATAAATGACCTGATTTTCAAAAAGGGTCTCATCACTGAAAATGCACCCAGCTGGCCTGCCCCATAGGGAGCTGGTGAATTCTGAAGTCCCTTTGAAACCAGGATCCAATTGTGAGCAAATCGCTTTTAGAAATCTGACCTGAGCTCCCTCAAGTTGGGAATTTTAAGTGTTTTGTAAAGCAAATATGTTACCGAATTCTTTACAGCACAAAACTTGATAGAAAATGAGCTAACTGTGGAAATAAACATCCTAATCCCCAAGTTCGGTGAAGAAAAAAGAAGAAACAGAAGGAAAAAAAGGAAAACTGTCTAAGACTTTAGGTATACCAAGGTGAGAGCTCTATATAAGGATAATTATCGTCTGTGCCACATGAAAGTAATACAAATAGACTGAAGTCAAGGCCCAGGGTCTAATCCAAAATCTGCATTTACTTTGAGTCAGACAGGGCTTCTAGGCCAGAATGCATGAACTACTGATGACTTCCCTATGACCCTTGTACACATCCATCCAGACACACTATTCCCCTCCTAAAGTGTTCTTCCAAGAGCCACTTTGTTTGCCTTCCAGATACGCTGTACAATTGCATGGCTCACTCTCGGTATGAGACATGCTGGATGCTTTCCTGATTCTTAGATATCTGGGAGACTTCATATCATATTTAGTTTATTATGTGCAGAGGGAAAAAATTGTTCCTCCAAACCGTTCCACCCAGTCTCAGTCACAATAACCAAGCCTTTGTGTTTTGACCACAGGGAGGTGTCAATGGTGATGCAAAGTGGATGTTGGGAGTAGTGGATGTTGGGAGCAGCCTGACCCTATAGTCCCCATGCAAAACATTAATTTCATTCTACAGACTTAAGAAGAAACCTCCATCAGCTCCTTCTGACTCAGTACATATTAGCAAATGGCTCTGTCTGAGAATTTAGCATGAAAAAGGAACTGGCTGCACAGCTGATCTGCTGCTTGGGACTTTAGACTAAAGAAAGGGGGACTCCCAGGGCAGGACTGGGAGCCACAATGTAACAGCCTGCCAAATGACCCAGAGCAAGCAGACCTTTAGCTGTTGTGTCTATTGTGCTTGGACAGTACTGTTTGTGGATCTCTCATTACAGTTTAGTTCCTAAAAGCATTGAAATCTGAGGCACTAGATGCTCGGGTAGGAAATGCCACCTTTGACCTTCCACATATTTGCCTCTAAACACCCTTAAGAGTTTTGCCATGCGGACCTGCTGACTGCAAGCTGCCTGATTCATTTAGATCCTGCCTGCAGCTACCAGTGCTGGGGCCATAACATGTTGAGAAGGTGTGCTGAGATGTGGCACGAGTCTGTTCCTTTTGAATAGCTGCCTTCTCAACAGCATGCAAAACCCCTCTTGAATCACATCCATCCAGCCATGACTATGTGTGACATACAAAATAAGAAAGGGGTCACCAGAAGATCCCGAAATCAGCCAGTCACTAGAATAAGATGTTTCAGGTACTGCCTACCGTGTAAGAAGAGTTGTTTGCAAGCAGCACTTACCCAGCATCCCTTTGTTTGAACTGGATAAACACATATCCTTCTCAGCACTGGGCAGGACAAATCCAACCACAAACACCTCCACTCCATCTGCCATCAACGCCAATCCTAAAACAAAGAAAAGTGTCCACTGGAAGCGTCCATGGCCACACTCCTCAATGATGTTCTCATACTGGTGGGCAAGCTGCTCCTCATCCTCCATCCTCTCTGCCATAAGATCAGCATGGTCTCTGTACTCGTCAGCTGCTGCAGGGGCTCTCTTCTGCTTGTCTTTAATGTCATCTGGGTGCGGGATTCCCTGGTACTCCCCCTCATAGACTTCGTCATCTTCATCATGGCCTTCTGTAACATCACTCTGGGCATCTTCTTCATGAGCAGGTTCATCCCCACCACGGTAGTAGCCGTCATTGGGTGTGTATCCTTCATAGTTACCATCCTGGTACCTATAGTCATCTGAGACTTCGTTGGTCTCCCTACCTATGCCTCTGCTCCCTTGATAGAGGTTTGCATTTCTGTATCCATCATCCATTCTGAAGGTATGTTTCTAAATTCTGTAGATCACTGTGTGTAAATACCCTAATATATATGTATGTGTTTATTTGTGCAATTTCTGGTATCGGCTACTTGAACATTTGTCGCTGTTCTTCGGAACTGATGTTATGCACAGTTTCCCCGGCTCACATGGAGAAGTACTGTAATTTTTCTCCTTGAGAGTGTCTTACACAGCTTTTGATGTTTCACTTTTCAGCTATCATTTGTGACTTACTGGCTTCTTCCTTTCTTTAGGTGGGAAGAGGTGGGGCTACTGGCTGGTGAACAGCAAGGGAACAGCAAATTGTACAGCCAGGGAGCTAGGATGACTTGGCAGGTTTTTCCTGATTCATCCTGATGGTGAAGGTCATGTCCTGAGAAAGAGGAAACAATAGCAATGAGAAAGTGGTAAGCTTGAGTTTAATGCCCAGTGTTTTGAATGCACACTTTTCCATCTCAAACATCAACACAGTATTTGGGGAACATTATTCCATCTTCAAAACAGGGAGAACCCAAAGCCTTAGTACAGAAAAGAGCATTAAAGATTACTAAGTAATCTAAGTGGAAACCTCAAGTAGGATCTAAAATAATGTCTGCTCCCAAACTCTGTCATTCCTAGAAATCCTGCCTCCCAGATGTGATGCTGGTTTCTTCTGAGAGTAGAATAATACCGAGTAGGGTTGCTTGAACAGAGCTGTCAGGTTACTACAGATATTTCTGTCTGTCTACCCCAAGCACACTCATCTGCAGTATCTATGAGTGGCTAACATTATAATGACACAAAATATAAGCTTGGATTTCTTTTTGATTCAGATCCCAAATTTAATTTAATTTTTCTTCCTCCACAGTATCTCCCTGTCTGTGCAACAGATGTGGAGCTGACAAGCTGTATGTGCCAAAACAAAGTAATCCAAAGTCACACTAAGCACTGTTCTTCCATCGATGGAGGATGATTTTCACAGAGCGCAAAAAAATAAGTTAATATGGAATCACTGCTCTCTGCAGGGAAAACTAAGGGAAGCCAAGTCACATCTAAACACATTCTCACTGTGGACACCTGACTTTCATTATCTTTCAAGCAATTCTCAGCCAGCTGGCGCTCCAGTACACTCCTGTATTTGTTGCTGCACACAGCTGCTGACAAGGATTTTGAAAGGAGACTCGTGGAAAACTGAGTAGATTCATGCCAGAAGAGCCAGTATAGAGTAGGCACGCACAAAGTATAGACTTCACTTTAAGCTTTGAGCTTGAGTTTGAGCTTGGAATTGCCTAAATAAAGTGTAAATGAGCTTTGAAATTACCTAGGTAGGCATGTGCATGTATACATGTGGGCATTTCTTATCTATCCAGTCAGGTGACCTGTAGAAGGGTACGCAGAGGTGCGCACGTGCATGTTTGGCATTGAAATTGGCACTGTAAATAATACTGCTAAATAATAATGTGCTTCAGGATGTTATTTACATGGTATGCAGCATGGTTTTAAGCATCATACAGCTAAAATGACTCCAGAAGAGAAATTCAGTAGAAGCACTCTCACAAAATGCTCAGAGGGGCATCGCTCCTTCTGCAAATGTTGTAGACTTTTTGGCAGCCCAGATGTTCAGGATAAAAACCAAGAGCAGAGGCCTGGTCTCTCTTGTGTGTGTGGAGTTCCCTTCACCCGCTGGAGTCATGGCCGTTTCTGGTCTATACTGTTCATGGGAGCTTCTCCAAGAAACGTCATTAAAATCTTTCCTCTACATTTCTGCTTCGCTACACGTAAGTTTACAGCATATAATTGTGACATTGCCTCTGCAGGTCCTGATAGAGCATCTTCCTTTGCTCCGACCCCTCTGCCATTTGTCACCACATTCAATGTGTTTCCTGTTGCCTTTCCTTTTGCTGAATCACACAATACATTTTGCATGAAGTTAAAAAGGCAGCAAGGCATTTTTCTGGACTGAAAAAAGGAACCAATAAATTATAAAACAAAACAAAACCAAAGACATTCTGATCAAGTTAGCAAGATCAGGAGACTATAGTGCATGTAACAGTAAAGAGAAACATTTGCATCCAGAACAAAGTGTTAATATGAAAGGGAGTTAATATATTTGTCAGCCATCAGAAGAATTTAAATGAGTTTTACGGATATTGTTTCAATGCTGGAGTGTAACCACTAGTGGTTAAAAAATTCCCTGAGGACTTCTGAGTCTCAAAAACTCCCATTCTTGAGGTAACTTTGATTACACCAAGTTTTATGTCATGAGCGAACATCTTGTTCTCCAAGGCAATAAAACTAGTTCTCTGTGGAACTACAGAGACATATTTTCTTTGAAAAACTAGAGAAAAGGCTTTTTTTTTCAAAAAAAAAAAAGAACAATATAAACTGAGGAACATTAGACCTTGCTTTGGAAGTTTGCAAGTGTCATTTATTGGCAGGTTATGTTTCAAAGTGACCTCAAATGACAGAGCAGAAAATGCAGTGACCTCACTGTTCTTGTCCTTCTCTGGTTGCTGCAAAGGTATGTTGAAAATCAGTCTTAGGAAATGAAATAATAATATTAATGATGAATCAACAGATCTCATAGGATCCCAAGTCATCCACAGAACTTACACTTAGTCTTTTCCAAAGGTAAAAGTATGCTTGAAGACCAGTCACTGGAGAACTTGTCCTACTCTACTGCCAAGTCTGGAAGCTGGGCTTTCTGCTTCCTATACTAACAGAACCACAGAATATAACAAACTTAGAGAAGATCTATTTAAGCATCTGTGCTCTTTCATTGATACACCAAGATTGTTTCTCCTATAAGGCATCACTTGCATCATGGGCGGTAGAGGAAATAATGAAATGATCTGATGAGCCTCACAGACCCGTGACAGCCATCCGTGTCAGGAAGAACATGACACACTGAAAACAAGTCTTGGCAAATAGTAGCCTGTAGGTTACCATTCACTTTGTAAGATAGACTCTTGTAGGGTCACCCTAGGAGAGGGGGCAATAACCGTGAAAAGCAAGGCACCCAGAGGCAGGTTGCAACCTAGAGCTCTTAAATACATCAGTTAGGCACTTCACACTACTTACTTTCTTTTATTGCCACATATGTACGGGCTGATTCACTCTAGACCTGTTTCTTTAACACCCTTTCACTCAAGCTGAGCTGCACTTACTCATATTAGCAGCCCAATTTAGCATTTAGATGAGAAATCATGATGTCGCGTAAGGATTCGAGGCCTGGATATCTATAATTATACTCCATAGTGATGCATGAAAGCTTGAGACAAATACACACATCACATTGAGCCTATTACAGCCTTAGGCCCTTGAAGACTGACAGTTGCTGCTCCAAGACATGCAAGTGAGGTTTAAACACAAGACAAATGCAAGGTTCCCCAAGGCAGACACTGCACGGGAGAGAGAGGAAGAAGCAGGAAAGCCTTATTCTGAGTCTTTCCAAAGTAACAAATTCAAGAGGGTGTTAAGTTCTGCCCCTAGTAAACCGAGCCTTGGAGTCAGAAATCTAAAGTACCTGGGAATACAGTTCCCCTCTTGGCTTGTAATTCTCTGTGATACTCTATTTATTTCTCAACACATTACCTTGTTTTTTCTTCCCCTCTAGGCAATCTTTACACTACAGCTTTTCTTCTATGTTCTGCTTTGGTATTTATCTTAATCTTATTTTCCCACCAAACAGCCTATCTCACCAGTTATCCAGATGTTAGTTAGCACATATCCTTCACTTAGTCCTGTATCTCTCATGCTACAATTTAGTCTGTAGCAACTCTTTAACATGCACAATTCACCTTACAACTTTCTTGCACCCATTAACTCTTTAGTCAGTTCAGATGTGACACACTTACCCAGCAATTAAATTATTTACGCTCCGTAACAATCTAAAGTCTTGCATATACCCACAGCAGAAACCCTATCTACACTAGGAAAAGGGACCTTTAAGAAGAGCTGTTTAACACCTGAACCTGTAAAAACATATATAAGGGAGGTGCCTGGTAAGCTCAGGTGATGAGCTGTTGGCTACAGAGCAGCAGGGCTTGGAGGGGATGCAGCAGGGTAGTCTCTTGTAAGAGCAGCAGGAAAGCAGCCTGGCAGCAAATAAAGAAAGTGCAAAAAGAGTTTAGGGTTTGCTAGAGAACTAAGTGTTATCAGAGAACAGTCCTTAGAGCAAATTAGTGAGAAAAGCAACTGTGGAGAGATGGCTTCCTACAACATGTTGAGTCCTGGGCATGAAGAAGTTTCCAGGAAAGAGAGGAGGACTATTTTGTGGGAGTCAGAGCTGAATGGAGGTGTGGGTGCATTTCTGTATGCAGGAGCCAACAGTTAAGAAATGAAATCCAGATCTTCTCTTTGTTTTTTCATGCTAAAAAAGGGAAAACTTTCACAGTCAAAAGCTGAAGAGAGAGGTTATTTGAATGCTAATGCAAAGGAAGTAGTGTTAAGGAGCAGGGCAGAGACACAACAAAATGTTTCAAGGGATCTCTAACATTCACCAGAATAATCCCCATAAAGCAGATGGCAGAGCAGTTTATTATCCTGCCTGAAGGACAACTCCTCTGGCAAAACATTCTTACTCCCAGAGCTGCTTTCTGCTAGCAGCAATGGGAAGGTGCCCAGATTCTACAGTGGCCATAAGGACACTCTGCAGTCACAAAGCTGACTGATAAATAAAATAAACAGGGAGCTTGGGAGGAATTTTCCCTTGGTAGTTAGGGGAAAGGAAACGGTACGCATAGAGTTTTGTGATGGTCTAATCTCAGACTATTAATGAGGGTGGATAATGGATCCATTTGTATGTGTAAAGGACCAGATTTTGAGAGATGCTTAAGTATTCACAGCTCCCAAGGGAGCAGTATCCTGGATTTCGGACAACTTAGAGTTGCACAAATACTATTAGATAGACTACGGATTGTAGCAAGGTCTGAATGCTCCTCTGCTAGGTGGAGGGAAAGTGTTACAGTGCTCAGTGTATAACTCTGTGCTGCAGACTCTCTGAGCAGCCTTGGGAAAGTTACTTGGCTACTTGGTGTTTTTCTACCTCCCCCCCTTTTGCAAATAGGAATGGCATAGCTTTTTCTGGTGTGAATTGCAGAGTGGTTATTTACATTCCTTGCAACTACTTGGCTACATGAGTAGATGGAAACTTGGGCCCCCAAAAGCCTAAATAAACCATCCATGGGAGAAGAGGTCCCTGTGTTCCCTGCCTCACAGACGAGGCCCAGCAAAATTAAGTGATTTTTTTTTTCCCAGACTCTTCATCAGGCGTTCAGTGATCCTCTGATACTTCTTTTTTAACCGTGAAAATTGTTATTTTACCCCTGTTTGGACGGATAACTGCTTCAGTGAAACTCTCTGAAATAGGTTCCTCTGTAACACAGGATCTGAAGTACTTTTAAGAATGATCCAGGTAGCACTTGCTCTGTCCCTTTGCAAAAAGGCCTCTTTCAGCCTCACCTCTCTGTTTTTGTCAATCTAGATGTGATTCTCTCCTTTTTCAGAGATTATCTTCCCACTGCCAAACCCAGAAGTCCTGAGTACCCTTGCAAAGGCATGCGGATATGTTGTAGTCTCTCTTTTCAGCTCTCCATATGGACTTCTCTTGTTATATTGAATTGCTTGGGAATATTTCCACCTTAAACAGATTAAGGATCTGCATTGCATCTGTTTCAGGAAAGGCGATAACAGGCAATTTGTTGATGGAAAGTGCTCCAAGCCCCAAAACTCATCGGCATAATTCTCATGAATCTCTCTCTTGCCCTCCAAGCAGAGAAGGGAAGAAGGAAAAGGTATTTCTCAAAATATTGTTAGCATTAGTGATTTTGCTTGAAAAGCCTAAACCTCAGGGAGCTTCCTGGATGCTTCAGATCATTTACTCTGTTTTGTTAGAATAAAGAGCAACAGAGTTGTTTCCCTCTTGTTTGGGCTGCTGTGTGTTTTCCCAGTTACACAGCAGGCATGTGTTTTGAAAGTATCTATGCCTCTCTCCAACTTCCCCCTCTGCCCCAGTGACTTACAGACAAGTTGATATTGGCCTAAAAATGCACAGCCTGAGAGAGGTTCTCCAGTATTTTTAACCAGGAGAGTGTTACCGGGGAAAACTCAGGGGCATAGCCTTAATGTCAGGAACGGCTTGGCTTCACACCTGTTGAGTGTCCTAATAAACAGGTGTTTTCAATAAGATCTGCTGAACTGTAACTGCCAATATACCCACATGTAGTATGGGGCTACTATTGTCCAGGAGATTTGGGGAAGGCTGAAACTTTTCCCTCTTTCCAAAAGGTCTGAAAAAAAAATCTCAAAAATCAGTCTGCAACCCCGTAATCTGCAAAATACTTTCAGATCAGGTGCATTAAAACGTTTCATCTCACCTTTTCATCATCACAAACAAAAATCAGCATGAAGAGTTGTTTCAAACTGAAAAACAAACATTTAATTTAGGAAATGCCAGCATGTTAGCGGTTTGATCCATTTTCTATTAAAGGCATTTGTTCAACCTGAGTCTTCTCCATGAAAAATTCGGGATTTGAAAAACTGGCATTTTCTGTCAACAAAAATTGCATCTGAAGCAATTTAATGCAAATAATATTCTCCCAATAATAATTTCAAGAAGGCAATATAGAGAAATATAAGATAGGAAAAGTAATCCTTCTAGTTACACACACACATGGCTGAGAGTACCTGACCTTTATCCTGTGGGGTAGGAAAAAGCCTTGCTTCCAAGGGGCTCTGATTATTCTTTTTTGCTAATGTTAATGTTGCTGCTCCAGCTACATCATTCATTATCCAGAAGAGCTGAGCAATATCATCATTTTCCTGGGCAGATGGCAAGGCTGGATTCTTGGCAAGGATTCTGTAGAGGAAAAAGTGGCAGGGTCTGGAGAGAATATATACGTGTGTGAAGTTAGAAAAGGGAATGAGAAGGCTTGAAAGGCAGAGGATTATAAACCATAAGAAAACAGAACTCAGGGAGGGCAGAGAGGGTTCAATAGTCCAAATGAAAATTGTGCTTAGAGTAGGGGGAAGGGGTTTCCATCACAGCTAGAGCTGCTCCTGCGAGGCTCTCCTTCCTGAAGGAGGGCCGGGGCTGCATACACGGGAGGTAAAAACTAGCACGTGGTCCTTAGTGGGATACCCCTGCAGCATCCCTGCAGGCTTGAGGAAGCAGCTTATCTCGGCCTCTGTAGACACTCAGAGGAAGGCAGGGTTTGCTGCAGTCCGCAGGGGAGCAACTGCCTGGCTGTCCCTGCTTCCCTGCAAGGCAACTGCTGCCTAGAGCCTTGCTGACATCTGTGGAAAGCAGCAACCGGGAGAACTGCTGCGTGCAACCCCTCTTGGAGCCCAGCTTAGAGGAGCTCAGACCACGGTGAAGGAGATGGACAGGACTTGTATGGGAAGGCCAGGGAAGGATAGAAGCCCTGGCAGATTATTGATCCTCAACATGTAGAAAACCAGTAGTTTGATACTATTGCTTAGCAATAACAGCAGCTCTCGCCTTCACCTCTGAGCATTAGAAATCAATCTCAGGCTATCTCTGCTAGAGCTTAGCCCTAATCCTTACTAATTCTGGCTTGACTTTTGAAACCTTATTCCTCTGCCAAAATAATAGCCAAACAGGGAAAAGTCTTACAGCATATGATTCTGAAACTTTCAGGCAAAGTTGACTGTAGGGAACACCACCCATTTTAAAGCATCATCGACTCCTGATGGGGGGGAGAAATTATGGGAGGAATCCTATTGAAATAGGTCACACTTCTTGCAGTTTTCCAGCAGTCATTTTCCTTGCTTTCTCTTTCCATCGAATATCCGAATCACATGGTGGTGATAACAAATGAGTCCCTGGGGATTTTCCAATAGGCTATTCTCAGATCTGAACCACAGTTATTGAATATCAGTCAGTGAATCAGTGGAATATAACAAGCTGAAGAACTGGTCTCTTTTTTGGAAGGACAGGTCAGCCCTTAGGATACAGGTTTATATATGGCTGCAGATAGATAAGTGAAAATATACATCACTGAAAAAAAAAAAATTCCTTCTGATTCTTCCTGTTCCCTCTCCGGTTCTGCAAGATTTGAAGGGAAACGTGTCCTTGCAATGAATCTGACCTGAGTTAATGTCAAAAGGAAACCATGGTCATCAAACATTTTTGAGAGAGGACTCAAGTATCTCAATCCTAAGCTGGAAACCCCTTGAATCTGGAGGAATGTCAACTCCAGGTTTAATTTCTTAGGCCTACTTTCTGCTACGTTTTCTGCTCTTGCTCAGAAAAGGCAAGTACATGAGTTTTCTTAGTTTCTTGATCAGTGGCATGGTAGCTGGAAGCAATAAGGAGCTACTTTGCCACTGAAGACACCACTTTTATATGTGTGGGCATGTCAAGATATGATTTTCAAGAATAAAGCTGTGTGCTCATGGCTACAACAATTAACTGTAGCTGCAAATATTTAAGGGAGGCTAACTGGGTCTGTACAATAGGAGATTAAAAGATCAAAGCTGCATCAGCCGACTCTATAACAGGGCATACCTTTAAAAAGTTTGCTTCGAACATTGGATAAAGAGGTATCTTTTGTTAGAGCTTCGTAGAAAAGCACTGCATTAAGTGAAAACTAAAAATAAAAATAAGTTTCTCCTGGGACTTTTTTCTTTTCTGTTGATAAGTTATTTGATAGAGGCACAAGTTCAAAAACTCTCAGTGGAGCTTATTAAGCACCACAGATTCTGTATCAGCAGCTGTAAGTTAAAAGAAGAGAAAGATACTTGAAAGTCCTCGACTTGATATCACCTGGCTTTCAGCACTACAGAGGGCACCTAACGACTGCTATCCTGCAGAATAGGTAGGACGTGTAGGGTAAGAGTTCACTGTTCAGTGTAAAATCATTGATTTGCCCTAAGATGCTGCTGAGATCTCTAGAACAAGACTCATTTATTCACTTCTTTCATGCTATGGAAAGGAAGGAGATGGTTGCTGATGCAATGCT